CCCCAATTCTCAATGCCGTTTATATGTAAATCCAGTATCTGCTGTATATCCAATCAAACGACGGCAACGATTTATTAATTCTGTATAAAAGCTGTGATATTGTATTGAAATACCAGTCGGTAAGTCAGAGTACCTACTATTATCGACAAGTGCGATTTCGTTAATGTCCCCTACGAACGAACCTATACATACAGTTTTATTATTACCGACTGATTCCACTCCCGTGGCAATCAGACAATCGCCAAGACACCAATTTCCTAGGGTCGCCAATTGGTTGTGCACTCGTTGAATAAGAAAGGTGAATACAAGAGAAGGGTCCCCTTTGGAGCAAAGAGAAAGAAAGGGAGAGACAGGCCGGGTAGGTGGAGGAGGCCTGAAGAGAGAACGAGACAGTTCACAGGAGGTCCGTGTAAGAGCTAACGATAGAAGGAGAGGCGTGAATAACCGGGAAATACAAGAGGGACAGAGAGAAAAGAAGAAAAGCTAAAGAGAGTCGCGTCCTGCTGACAGGGGCGCGGCTCCTGATTGCTGTCGCATTGTGCAAGGACTCGCGTCCTGTCGGGACCCCGGTATTGTCGCCGGCGACTCTGAATGCTATGAAAACTCAGCCCGATGATGTGGGAGGACCCCGCGAAACGTGGCTCGTGGAAGAGAGTAAAATAATAAAAAAAAAAAAAAAAAATTAAAACCCTAGAGACAATGGGGTCAAGAGTACACGCGGAGCTCGAAAAGAACGAAAACACGCCTACGTCCTTCTGTCGAATTTCCGACTGGCCCCAATTTTCGTTCCGTCGTTTATCACGTGTAATCCTACAGTTTAACTTATCTGTATCCCAGTGGTATCGTTGTGGTATTAAGGGAACAAAAATCCTATGGCAAATATACCTTCGGGTCATTTCCGATTTAACTCTGTCAAATCTCGTGGAAATCGAAGTTCGATTTTCAAATGGTTTCACCGGACGTTCGTTCCTATAGGAAGCTCCATAATGGAGACTTTAGAATATCCGAAAGACCCCGAAGTTGGCTGTCGATCGTGAATGACGATGACGCTGGTGGTTATAGGAGGCAGAATCGAGGGCTGTCGAAAGTGGTGGAGACCTTTTTTTTTTACCCTTAGAAAAATTAACGTAAAGGGCGAGAACGGCTTCTGCCATTGTCCCGGCTCGCGACTTCCATTCTCAACCCCATTTCCATCCAGGCATCGAATGCGAAAAAAATTCAGATGTCAAATCTTCATTTCCGGCTCACGGTTCAGCGAGTTGGAAAAAATACTTCCTGCCACCGGGTAGAAACTCCTTTCTTTTTACGTACTCGTACCGAGCCCCATCATCGACCTCTACGAGCGCACGACGAACGGATGAAAATTCATCTCGTGAGGTTTTGTTAAATGAAAAAAAATTATTTTTAATCAATAACTACAGTTTACGTAGTTACCGTATTTTTTTTACTTTCTTTCTTTTCCCTCGTACTTATTCACTCGGAGGAAGTTACACGCTCGCTTGGCTCCCTCAGGAAAGTCCCGGTTAGCGGTCTTCCACCGGTACGACCAGACAACCGGAAGCTTTTATTGTTTTACAAGTTTACTGCTCCTGGTCGCTCCAGCTTGACCTTTCACGGTCCCAACCGATAGCATTTCTCCTTTAGACTTTACAGGATAGACCCTACTCCATTTCCTTCTCTTTTTCTCCCTGAAAGACACCCTCGTAATTTCTCCTGCGTCTTTCACCGACCACCCTGTACTTCCTCCCTGGAGGTAGGTACACGCGTCCAGTAAAAATCTAAACTCCATTTTTTTCCCTCTCTAAAATGACAAAATACCTTCCGGTACACCCACGTACCCATATCTACTGAGGTGGTCAAGGTCCCCAATATTTTAGGACCGGGTCTTATCGCGATGAACCTTTTAGGTTAGGTTAGGCACTCTAACCACATTCTTACAATTATCAACGATCCAAGGGTACCTGGAACTACTAAAATTTGTGAGGTCACTTTTCGATTCACGCTCACGGACTCCAGCTACCGATTTAGATTTTCGGTTTTTGGGTCTCCTCGAGTCGCCATCCTGATCTACGCTCTCGGCTCGATTCGCGATGCTCTCGGAAGATTCGTTATTGTTTGGTCCAAGTGTTGGAATCTGCCGCAGGGTGCGTCTCGACGTACCGGGTTGCCCGGCAGAGGAGACGAGTCGAGGGATTCGTTACGATTTGGTTCAAAGGGACGACTCGAGGTAAAAGATAAGAGTTAACGGCCGTAAGGTTCTCGACCAATCGGCATGATTAGTTCCCGAATTTGCCTATGGTCAAAATCAGTCTGTCTCGAGACACCGATCGGGCTGCCTCGGACTCCCGGGCTATTTATTTACAATTATTCTAACCGTGTTTACTATCCGGCATAGTAAATTCTCGCTTGTGCATTTCTCGCAACATCCGGAAAATCCTACCGATTTTCTGGGCGCGTTTCGAAAGTCCAGTGTCGTCGTACAGTGCCCACTCGAGTGTCTGAATGCAGTTCTCGGCCTTAACCTATCAGTCGTACCAGCTCCGGTGAGAATTCAATTTATTAATTGGTAAAGGGATCCCGATTTTATATATCCGATTC